GATAGTCTCAGAAGACATCATGGTCAGTCAATATAACATAATCCACAAAGATAATGTTCAACATCCTACTTTGGTGAGTTCCATCTGGGATCTTAAAAGCTCATGACCAGCCATTTAAAGTATAGCTATTGGTCTCTCCATGTGTTGAAGAAATAAGAGTGGTCAAAAGTAAGAGGCTTGGAATCAATTAGTCCAGTGGACTAAGGGAACATGTGAACATCAGTCTCCACGACACTGAGACCTGAAGAACTAGATGGTGACTGGCTACTATTACAACTAACTCTGGCCCTTGACAACCCTTCATGTCTAGAAAGGATCTCAATTTCATGGCCCAATTTTCAGCCAAGAGTAAATCAGTATATAGGGAAAAATAACACTAGTCAGGTATGCTTACCATGGAATAGTCAATAATTCAAAATCAAAAGGGCAAAATTTTCCTGAGGACAATGTTGTAAAAGAATGGGAAGGTGGGTTGAATGGAAATAGGAACCATGGAGAGGATGCAGGTTAACTGTTGTTGCATTGAGGGAATTGGAATTGCTGAGATGAAACGAAGTGTATGATTTGTTGAATGTACAACTGATGTTGTTGCCAGTAAACCTCCACTCAATTCATAATAAAAAGTTTAGAAGATTAAGAAAATGTTCTATTTGTACTTTTCTAGAAGTTCTATTATGATTCAGTGTTGACTTGATCAAATGCTTTATTATCAATAAAAATGATTCTACACCTTTCTGTTTTCCAATCTTTAGCTCTATCAACAATATTAAATCAACCTGGTATTAATGTGAATCCCAATTGGTCATCATATTTTATCCATTATATATATTCTTATATTTAATTTTCTATAAAGATGTCAATTATCTTGAATGTATTATGAAAAGCAGCATATGAGTCTGACTTATGTTCTTTCCTTCCCACTGGATATTATGATATTTATGCTCTTCAGTTTTGGCAGCATAAGTTATTAATTTAGGTTACTTTTACTCGGCAAATTAAGAGAAAGAAGAAATTTGAAAATACAAATGTTAAAGAAAAGGCAGACATTTTGCGTTACAATATTTTTATTCCATTTGTACAACCCAGGATATCCATGCTTTCTAAAGTTGCATTCCAATGCATAATATTACCTAAGGCAAAATAATTGCACTAACTGCCATCTTCCCTCTGAAATGTTTGTGTCCTTTCAATCTTCACTGCATTGGCCAATTTTTCACATATAAAGTTCATTTTTGTATTACAGTTCTTATATGATACATATACATTATCTATGTATCTACAATACATCATATCATATAAGTGGTCCATGTTTCCTATAAACCTGAAAAGGAAAATAAATAATTACACTTAGCAAGTAATGCATTTAAAACACGTTGGCAAAAATTTACCTTCCAATGTGAAACAATTGATCCTAAGTTTGGAATTATCACAGTACATTTTTATTAATATTCATCATATAAAGAATGACTTCATTATATCTGGTTATTTGCTGTCCCTTTCTTCCAGGATTAGTTAACCCAACAACACATCTAATGGTTTAGCATAGTGGTATTGCATCAAATTGTCCAAATGAACTTGCCTTCTAGCTGTTTTCAGAGATTTTACTGTGAAGTTCTGTATAATTCAAATAAGTGAAATTATTCAAACAAGCAAATGCTTAGTTACTGATATAAAGGTTGCCAGTTGGAAACCACACAGATGATTCTCAAATAAACTTGTGGTGTTCTACTGCTGAACCATCAGTTATATAATATAATATATTATTAATGTTAATAAGAAGAATATTAATATATATTCTATAACTGACGGTTATTTGAGACTCATACAGAGTCTCCAAGATTACAAATCAGTGTGACTGAAACTGGCTGTTAGTTAATACTAGACTAGTGACCAAAGACTACGTATTAAAGACAAATTAGTAAATCGAAATTTTTGATAAATGTAGCATTGATATTAGCTCAATAAACAATATATCAAATAGTTTTCTTAATAAATTTCAAGTGGGAATTTTTAAAATACCAGCAGAGACACTGATACTTGACAGGTTTCAGCTGAGATTCCAAACTGAGCTGGAATAGGAAGGATTAGCAGGCTAGTTTTGAATGTTTAGCCACTGAAAACCTAATGAATAGCAGCAGAAGATTGTCAGATATAGTGCAAGAAGATGAAAACATCATAAAATAGCACCAGGATATTTTCAAATAAAGTGTCAGAAAATGAGTCCCTCAGGCTGGAAGGCACTCCAAACACTACTGGGGAAGATTTGCCTCCTCAAAGTAGAGCTGATCATGATGATGTAAAGCATTGGGGGCACAAACATCCATTTGTAATTGGAACATGAAAGGTATGAAGTATGAATCTAGAAAAATTAAAAATTGTCAAAAATGAAATGGAATACATAAAGATCGATATCCTAAGCAATTTTGTGGTTGTTGTTAAGTGCCACTGGGTCAATTCTGACTCATAGCACACCTGTATAGGGTTTCCTAGGAGCTGACTGGTAACTTTGAACCACCGACCTTGTAATCCTAAGCATTAGTGACCTGAAATGCACTGATACTGGCCATTTTGAATCTGATAATCATATGATTTACTAAGATAGGGATAACAAATTGAAGAGAAATGGTGTAGCATTTATCAACAAAAAGAACATTTCAAGATCTATCTTGAAGTACAATGCTGTCTGAGAGGATAATATCCATACATCTACAAGGAAGACCAGTTAATACCTCTATTATTCAGATTTATGCACCAAACACTAGGCCAGGATTGAAGATTGGAGAATTGAAGAATTCTTGTGGCGCTGCAGATTAATGCTTTGGACTGCAAGGTAGGTTTGAACCTCAAAGTCTAAGTTTACTAGTTGCTCCTTGGAAACCCTATACAGGGTTGCTACGGGTCAGAACCAACTTGGGCACTTAACTACAACAACAAACAACTTCTTGGTGTTCTGGCTGCACTGCAAGGTCATTTCAAACTGTAAGGTCTGTGGTTTAAGCTCACCAGCCGCTTCTCAAAAATCCTATACAGGATTGTTATGAGTCAATCCAACTTGACACTTAACAAAAATAATAACACATTTCTTTATTCTGAATTTGATCAGACTTGCAATCAAGATGTATTGATAATTACTGGTGATTGAAACACAAAGGTTGGAAACAAAGAAGAAGGATCAGTAGTTGGAAAATAAGGCCTAGGTGATAGAAATAATGCTGGAGATTGCATGACAGAATTTTGCAAGACCAATGGCTTATTCATTCCAAATACCTGTTTTCAATAATACAAACAATGACTATAGATGTGGATTTCACCAGATGAAAAACACAGAAAAAAAAACCCTGAAAATATCTTTTGGAAAAGATAGTGATAAAAACTCCATATCATTAGCCAAAACAAGGCCAGGAGCAGACTGTGGAACAAATTATCAATCATGTATATGTAAGGTCAGGTTGAAGCTGAAAAGAATTAAAACAAGTTCACAAAAAAGGAAAATGTGACCTTGAACATATCCCACATGAATTTAGAGATCATCTCAAGAACAGACTTGATGCTTTAGATACTAACGACCAGAGACTAGAAGAGCTGGGTTATGACATCAAGAACAGGAAGAAAGCCAGAAGTCATTAAGAAGACAAAAAAGAAGGAAAGAAACAAAATGGATGTGAGAAGAGATGCTGACACTTGCTCTTCAGAATAGAGATGCTAAAGCAAATCAAAGAAATGAAGAGGTAAAAGTTTTACGTTTTTTGATGCCAGAAATTACTACATAAACAAGGTCATAAACAGCATGAGACTAGTGTAATGAGACACATAGACCCATGGGAACAAATTGAGAACCCAGAAGCAAATCCATCTGGCTATGGACAAAAGAGCAAAGCCCATTCAACAGGAAAGAGATAGTCGCTTTAACAATTAGTGCTAACAAAATTGGATATCCATTTGCGGAGTAATGAGAAAGGATCCAAACCTCACACCAGACACAAAAATGTATTCAAAATGTATCAAAGACCTGAACATTAAACCTAAGTATATAAATTCATGGTAAATAACATAGGGAGAAAGTGAAGGGTCCTATACTATGATATAAATACACAATCAAGCATAGATAGAAATGTATAGATAGCAAAACATAAATTAGATAACTAACACCTCCTAAATATTAGGTGCTTATGCTCATCAAAAGACTTCACAAAAGAGTAAAAAGAGAACCTATTAAATAACACCCTTACTTAGGCCACAGCTTTGATGCAATACAAGGTTAAGTTTCCCTTGGTTTTTGGCCTGAATCTTATTAGAGATCAAAGGAGAAAGAAGTGAACACACTAGGAGGGACTTTCCAATCACAAGAAAGAAAAGCCAAGAGTGGAGCACAACCTTTGAACCATGGGTCCCTGTGCTAAGAAGTTCCAAGTTTCAGTGGAAAATTGGTACCAACATACATGGAGCGATCCAACGAATGCTGGATCCACAGAAGTTGAAAGAGGAAGCAAGAACTTTCTCCAGAGCTAACAGAGGGAGAAAGCCTTCTGCAGGAGCTGGCACACAGAGTTCAGACTTCTAGCCTCCTAAAGTGTGAAAGAATAAGTTTCCATTTGTTTTAGCCACCAACCTGTGGCTTTTCAATTATAGCAGGACTAGATAACTAAGACAGTAAGCAATGTCAATGAAAAAACTGTGTAGAGATTAATAAAATAGAAAATAATTTCCTGTGTAAACTTTCATCTAAAACACACAAGAAAGGTGAAAACAAAAGAGTGAATGACTACAAATTTGAATTAAACAGGAAAATACAAAAAAATATGTATATGCACTTAATAGGATAGCATGATTTTTTTATAAAGAACTCAATAATAATAGTTTAGAGTGAATGTAAACTAAGATTATCTATAGTAAAATATTTCAATATACTTTCCTAAATGGATTCAGTAGGAACAAAACATTTTTTAAATGTTTAAAAATGGGAAGAGCTACCAAAAAAATAGTAAATTTAATCTTATCAATCTGTGCAAACTCCATGTTTATTATGAACAAGTACACACTTTCTATGGCAACCAAATATTTATAAATTTTTTTTTTGCTGAACTGAACAAAAAGAAATCCCCAAAATATTAAAAAACATTATTTGAGAAAAATATTGTTCTAAAGACTAATTTTGAGAATAATAGAAATATTAAATAATAAAAATTATCCTTATAGTTGGATGCAAAGCACATGAACTTTAAAGCAACTCAGATTAACGAAAAAAATACAAGGAAATTTTAGATAGATTTAGGAGTTTTTTCAGTTAACTGTACCGTGTGCTAGTTATCGTGTGCATCAGTGTTGTATCCTTTCACCATATTTATTCAGTCTGTACGCTAAACTAATAATTCAGGAAGCTAGATTATGTGATGAAAACGGCATCAGGATCAAAGGAAGACTCATCAATAACTTTTAATATGCAGATGACACAATTTTTCTTGCTGAAAATGAAGGAGACTTGAAATACTAATAAAGATCACAGACTACAACCTTCAGTATGGATTGGAGTTCAATGTAAAGAAAATGAAAATTTTCACAACTGTCCCAATAAATAACCTCATTATTTATAATGAAGGGGACATTGAGTTGCTAAATATTTCATTTTACTTGGATTCTCAATCAATACTCATGGAAGTTGTTCCTGTATTTAGTAGCATTCCAGTCTGTTTCGAGTCATAGTGACCCTACGCGTAACAGAATGAAACACTGCCTGGTGTTATGTCATCCTCACAACTGTTGTCATGTTTGTGCCCATTATTGCTCCCACTGTATCAATCCATCTTATTGGGGGTATTCCTTCAGTGCTGCTTGGACTTATTCCTTCTATATCATTGGTTCTTGATCATATGGCACCTCTTGAAATGATTGAACATAGACCAATTCTTTTTGGTATAGTGACTGTGAATTTCTTCCATATTCTTTTGACGTTTCCAGTGTCATTCCATATATTGCCCATTGTTGTTTTTGAGTCAGATCCAAATAATAGCAAGTCTATATATGATTTCTGATACCAGCTGGTGTGTTCGAACTGCCAACCTTGCAGTTAGCACTGTTAGCAGTCTAGTGTTTATCCTACAGCATCATAGTAGGGTTCATAGAATCCTTCAATATTGCAACCTGAAGCTTGAACTTTTTATTTAGCTCTTTCAGCTGGAGAAATGCATAGCATGAATCTCAGTTTTCTAATTCCAGATCTTTGAATATTTCATTATCATATTTGATTTTGTCTTCTCAAACTGACCTTTGAAATGTTCTGTTCAGCTCTTTCACGTCATCATTTCTTAGTTACTTTTGCTTCTCTATGCTCAAGAGCAAGTTTCAGTCTCTTCAGACATCCCTTTGGGTATTTTCCTTGTTTCCTGTCTTTTCAATGGCCTGTTGCTTTCTTCGTGTATGATGTTTTCGATGTCATCCCACAATTATTCTGGTCTTCAATCATTAGCATCTAATGTACCAAATCCATTCTTGTGATGGTCTCTAAATTCATGGTCTCTAAAATATTCATATTTTGACTTTCTTGGAGTTGTTTTAATTTTCAGCTTCAGCTTGAACTTTCATGTGAGCAACCAATGGTTCCACAGTCAGCCCCTACCTAGCCTTGCTTTTGCAGATTATATTTGACTTCTCCATCATCTCTTCACACAGATGTAATCAATTTGCTTCATGTACATTTCCTCTTTAGGAACACATTCGCCTTTTTAAGTGGTTGAAGCCATTGTTATTATTGTTAAGTACTGTAGAGTCAGTTCTGACCCATAACGACCCTGTATAGGGTTTCTGAGGAGCGACTGATGAGCTTGAACTGCTGACCTTGAACTGCAAAAGCGTTTACACATTTGCAGTTCAAACTGACTTTGCAGTCTAGCTCATTAACCCACATCACCACACCAGGACTCTGAAGAAGCCATTGTTATTGTTGTTGTTATGTGCCTTGAAGTCAGTTCCGACTCATAGAGACCCTATACAGAGTTACCAAGACTGTAAATCTTTACTGGAGCAGAAAGCCTTATCTTTCTCCCGCGGAACAGCTGGTAGTTTCAAATTGCTGACCCTGAGGTTTACAGCCCGATTCCTAACCACTACGCTACCAGAGTTCCTTGAAAAATTCTATCATGTGATCTCCAGCATAATTTCTATCACCAAGGTCATATTTTCCAACTAGGAATCTTTCCTCTTTGTTACCAAATTTAGCATTTGGCTCTAAAGATAGTGACAGCTATTTCTTGCCACCCTTATTAGTTAATCTCCTTTGACCATTTAATAATGCTTAATTTTAACCTATCTGATTTAAATTACTGGCATTTGATTCCATTTTCCTAAATTAATCCTGGATGTTAAATATTTGTTATTCTGTTGAGGTAAGACACTTGAAGATGTGATTTTGGGATTAAGTTGTTTTATGTCTTTTGCTTCAGTCTAGGGTTGACCTCCATGCCTATGGGAAATGGGATGCTAAATATCCACAAGATATAGAGCCATCACAATTAGTTACCTTATGACTTCTTACTAATTGTGAAGTACCAACTGAAGCCTGTACCTTGAGGAACCACATTCTGTGTGTGTGTTTCTTGTTTTTGTTAAGTACCACGGATTGCTTTTGACTCATAACAACTCCATGTGCACACAATGGAACTGTTGAATAAGGTTGTCAGGATTTTGACATTTGGATGCAGATCACCTGGCCTTGCTACTAAGGTGCTATTGAGTGTATTTGAACCACTAACCTTTCATTTAGTAGTTGAACAATAAGCCATTTAGGCCATTTATGTTTAAGCAAAAAGTGTTTTCATAGCATTATTTATCTCATTGTTAAAGTTTTACACTCTTCTGTCCCACTCTAAAAGAAAGGTATAAAATTTCTTCTTATATATAAGATTGAATATACCAAGCATTTTGATTGCCTATTTGTTTTGCTTACTTATGGTTTGGCACGCAAATATTAAGAGTACTATATTTCTCATAAATCAGCTTTAAATTAGTTAATTGTATGAATATTGCATAGTGGTTACGAATCTGGCTGTGAACCGCAAGGTCAGCAGTTCGAAATTACCAGCTGCTCTGTGGGAAAAAGATGAGGCTTTCTGCTCCCATAAAGATTTACAGCCTCAGAAACGCTGTACAGGGTCGCTATGAGTCAGAATTGACTCCACAGCACATAACAACAACAACAGTATGGCACTGTAGGATAAGCACTGGGCTGCAAGGTTGGTTTGAACCACAAGGTCAGTGGTTGAAACTCATGATCCTTTCCTCAGAAACCCTCTACAGGGTCATTATTAGTCAGAACCAACTCGATGGCCCTTAACAACAACATATGAATATTATAATATCATTATAACTCCATCATTGTTTTTTGTATTTTCCTGCTTGCTATTCAGTATTTGCACCTTTCTTAACTGAATTTGTTAATTAAGAACATTATTTATCCTTGTATATTATTATTTTTCCTTTTATGTTATGCTTTTCCACCTATTTATTTCACTGTATTATTGTGTGCTGTAGAGCTGTGTTTGAATTCGTAGCTACATTGTATATAATTTCTGAAATGGTGAATCTTTACAAGAGCAGAAATCTACCAAGGAGCAGTTAGTGGATTTGAACTGCTGACCTTGTGGTTAGAAGCCCAACACATAATCCATATACCATCAGGACTCTTATTTTATTTCATTATATGAAAGAAAAAAAAATTAAGTTTTCCTTGAGTCGATTACAACTCATGGTGACCCATGTGCATCAGAGTGGAACTGAAGTGCATAGGTATTTATTTCAATGATTAACTTTTGGATGTTATCACCAAGCCTTTATGATGAAGCACGTCTGGGTAGACTTCACACTCCAAAGTTTCCACTAGCTGCCAAACTCATTAACCATTGATATCATTTAGGGTCTTCATGAGTTGGAATTGACTCACTGGCAACTATTCTGTATTTGTTAGTTTTGCTTTCAATTTCATCATTGTTAAAGATGAGGCTTTCTGCTCCTGTAAAAATTTACAGCCTCAGAAACCCTGTACAGGGTCGCTATGAGTCGGAACTGACTCCACGGCACATAACCAACAATCACCACCACTGTATTTATCATTTTATTACTGAGCGTTTACACATTTGCAATAATTATAAATTAACATACATATATTTTATTTTCACAAAACAATTTCCTTGAAATGTAAACTGTCTTTACTTCTAGTTCTACACTTCAAATAATACCTTTATTGTATATATGTTTCCTTCCTCCATTGTTATATATCTTAACTCCATTTAGTACTCTCATTGCCAACCACCAAAGGTAGTAAGTGCCACATTGACTTTTTGACCCCAAATCCTAAACTCACTCTTTCTACTTGAAGGAAGTTACAAACAGATACATGCACACAAATGAAACTTATATTTGCTGCTTGTTCCTCTGTGAAGAGAATGCAGGAATCAGTACTTAGATTCAGTGTGGCAGCACTTCACATGGGTGTCCCTTAGGTCCCTCCTTCCTGATGTGTCCTCAACTAACAGATAATATTTTAATTCTTGGGCTTTCAACAATTTTTCATCAGATAGATTGATGATCTGTCTTCCTTCTTCAGTCTGACTCTATCTGATTCCCTAATGTCAGAGATTGTAAAATATAATGGAAATTTAGTGCCATTTGTTAAAGCCTTCAAGTTTAGTCCCATTACAAGTTAGCTGGAAAATTCTATCTAAAACTTTGCTAATCTTACATATTCATAATCACATTCCTCAATATACAGTACAACAAAATATTTTATTCATGCCATGGTGGTAATATGCGATGCTAAATTCACATTATTCTCTGGATTTGAAATAGTCTTCTAGATTGTCTTAACATTTTTTCATTTAAAGAAAAATATAATCGACAGAAACATCTGTCACAGTGTAGTCTATGTATCTCCAGAATTATTCCGTCAGTCTGAACATTATGAATGATGGCTAACAAAAGAGGAATCAACTTTTCACTTTAGTTTATATCTCTAGAACTTGACACAAGTTTTGATGTATGTTAGAACTGAGTGACTTCTGTTGGCCACTATAATTTTCTATGAGAAAATCATTATTCACCAACATTCTCATATATGTGGCTACTATAGTCAACATTTGTCAATATTTTCAGCATTTTAAACACATTGTTTTAGCTGTTGAGTGCCATTGAGTCTGTTCTGTATCATAGTGATCCTGTGTAGGGTTTCCAGGAAGCAGCTGGTGATTTTGAACCACTGACCTTGTGCTTCAAAACAAACTTATGATCCAGTGCTTAACCCACAGAGCCACACTAGAACTCCTTAAACACATTAGAGAAATCTAAAAGGAAAGCCTTCCTTAAGCAGATAGTGTCAATTAAAAGTAGTTTGAATTGGAATATACACTTCTCCTAAAGCAAATGCTCTACTCAACCCCAACCATAACAGTTCAACAAGCATATCAGACTTACCAGTCTTTGGAGATAATGCTCTCATCAAATTTATGGCTTAAAGATATGTCTTTTTGAGGAGATAACCGCACCCAGTACATTTTCCTTAAGTCTAAGGATTTAATAAATTTCTATAGGAAATAGAAATAGCTTATTTAATTCTAATGTTATACATTATCTTTTAACACAATATTTTACAAATTATTATTTTAAGGTAACAGTATTATGTATTGCTTTGCTACTTTTTAACAATATTAAAATAACTGGAAAGAAAGTATTTATTTTGGTCAGCTGTCATCAGTCATTAGTCAGGGATGGATTCCTGCCCTACGGTCTTGGTGGAAGGACAAACACAAGAAACTTGACAATGGAAACTAAGGGCAGAAGGTTGTCAGTCACATCTACTGACAGAATTTGTACATGGGAAGTGAATGAAGAAGCAGGGTGATGGGAGGTAGGTTCTGTAGTATCAAGAGGATGAGCTATCCCTTGGTTCCTATGACACGATATGATTGGCTTATTTGAACAATTCCACAGACTGGCAGAGAGCTAAAACCTACTACTCAGGTTTACTCAGGAACTACATTTTGTGTGTGTGATAAAAGAGAATTGCTCACTTAGTGGATCCTAAAGTGAGGAAGAACACTTGCAGTTAGCCATTTGAGGCCCCACTTCACTCAACTCTCTAAGATATCAAGGCAGTACATAATATTGAATATTTATTTTAGGTTTACCTTCTCAGTGTGCCTTACTATAAACGTTTCTCCAGCATTCATATAATCAAACTACTATGTCAAATGAAGAATGGATGTACCATTTAGTGCAGAACTTGAAGTCACTGCTGTTGTGGTATTGTCAAGTCAATTTTGATTCATAGCGATGCTATAATACAGAGTAGAACTGCCCCATAGGGTTTTGTAGACTTTAATCTTTATGGATGCAGATTGCCACATCTTTTCTCCTACAGTATCACTAATGAGTGTGTGATTCAAACTGCTGATGAGTTTGAATCACTAATGTTTGTGCAAACAGAAAAGTGCTTAACATTATGCTACTTTGTTGTTGTTGTTAAGTGGCTTCGAGTAAGTTCCAACCCACAGTGACCCTGTACAGGGTTTCCAAGTAAGTTCCAACCCATAGTGACCCTGTATAGAGTTTCTGAGGCTGTAAACCTTTTACGGGAGCAGAAAGACTCATCTTTCTCCCACAGAACAGCTGGTAGTTTTGAACCGCTGACCTTGTGGTTCGCAGCCAAATTCGCAACCACTATGCAACCAGAGCTCCTTTAACTTCAAGCAGTTAGAATCAATAGAAGTTCACAAGTTAAAGATCAAAGCATTTGAGTTGCCAAAATTCAGTTCTATGCAAAGGAGATTGTCAATGACTGCAAACAGTTTCATAGATTTGTAAATGAAGACAAATGCCCCAAAGTCAGTCGAGAGTGTTTATGAGACTAAAACTCAGAAAAATCAGAATTTTGGAGCTGAATAACAATGTTTTCTAATTCCAAGCTTTTTTTTTTTTTCTCCCATAATGTACAATGATGAATGTGCAATTTGAATTTACCAGGAAAGGAAGAGGTGGTAGATGAATTTCCCACTCTTCAATTAATACTGATGGTCTTATATAGGGAAGCAGAGACTTTTAGTAAAACATACAATTGCTTACATAATATAGCATTGTTTTCTGACAGACCATAAACAGAGTAATAAAAAAATATGGAAAGATAATTTAGATATGAAACAATAAATACCACTACCAGAAAATTCACTGTTCCTGAGACTCAACATCATAATGCAATGTGTATGCTTGGCATTTAACTTTTCATCCCATTTTAAATCTATTTATATATGTGTGTTTTGATGACAGTTACTAGCATTTTGTTTTCTTGATTATATTTCAACAGTGTGATCCAAAGCTTGCCAGCTTAGCCTCTATGGAGCATTCTGATTGTGTGGCTCCTGAAACTGATCTTATTTGGTAAAGTAAGGGGTCAGAAAACAAAAAGAAACTTCTCATTGAGATGAATTAGCACTGTAGCTATCTATGAGAATAGACTCAAATGTAACAATGAGCATAAAGATGGTGCAAGAACCAGGCACCACTTCATTGTGTTATACATGAGGTCACCATGAATCAGAGCCAACTCCAATGGTAAATAACAACAAAACATATTTTATCCAAACAATCCTGCTCTCCTAGAATTTTTTTCTCTAAGTTAAATATATATATATATATATGCATAAGTAACACTGAAAGGTATCACTACTGGTGAAGATTTTATGGAATTGATAACCCTATCAATTAACCCTCAGGAATAATATACAGATCTTTTTTTATATAAATTTTCAGAAGCCATATTCTGAGTTTGATTCCAGTGTTTCTGTTTGGATATCTGATATCCTACTGATCAGCTTATAAGACTCCATTAATCCCAAGGTTCTAAACTAAAGATTTATATGACTCACCATGGGTATAATGACCAAAGAGGAGTCACTTCGTATGACAAGAAAAATGAGGAAGAATCATATCTGTGTTAAAATATTTTCCCCCCAAATATCCCACCAATCTCTATTCTTTGAGGGAAAAGGATTTTCCTTCCTCACAGACAGAAAGCCATGGGGACTTACAAAGACACTCTCAGATTTTATCTTCAATAGGCTTGCATTGTGAGTAGAACACATCCTTTCACTGTTTTGCCAAGTTTGAGCTTCATCAGATAAGCCATAACAGCTGTCCTCATGCCACTTCCATTTCTCTGGACAAGGTTTACACTTATGCTCTGGAAGAAGAACATGGTGTTGTTTCATCTCTATTGTTATTCTGCATTGTTTCTACTCTTTCCTTAGTCTTTGTAATAAATTGACTACTCTTATTTATATTCCTGAAGAGCTCTGGTAGCGTAGTGGTTACGAATCGGGCTGCGAACCGCAAAGTCAGCTGTTTGAAGCTACCAGCTGTTCCACAGGAGAAAGATGAGACTTTCTGCTCCTGTAAAGATTTACAGCCTTGGAAACCCTGTACAGGGTCGCTATGAGTCAGAACCGACTCCATGGCACATAACAACAACAACAACAACAGTTTATATTCCTTGTTTTTATATCAAAAAGGAGGAAGATGAGTCATGTTGTCTAGAACTAGATCTGTCTACTTTGAAGGAATGCCTGGGTGATGTAAATGGTGACATTCTTGGCTGCTAATGAAAAGGTTGAGCCCCAGAATAACAACTTGTTGTTGTTATGTGCCCTGGAATCAGTTCCAACTCATAGCGACCCTGTATACAGTTTCCAAGGCTATAAATCTTTACGGGAACAGAAAGGCTCATCTTTCTCCATGAAACAGCTGGTAGTTCGGAACTGCCAACCATGAGATTAGCAGCCTGATTCTTAACCACTATGCTACAAATGTCAAAGTAGAAGAACTACATCTTATGAAGATGTGATGGGAAGCACCCTCATACTTAATTTCCTCCTTCAAACACAATATTGCCCTGTAAAATACTCCTAGATACAAATGAAGTGATTTGCAAGTGTCTCTAAGGTTTAGTTCATTGTCTAATACTTACAAGAGGAATGCAAAACTACCTTTTTGGTTTTTTAAAATCTCACGACATAGTTCAGTGGTTATGTTTTGCAGTGTGTTGGAGAGGATCGTGTTCTCATTGGAAATATTCCTGTTGCCCATTAGTTGGAGAGAAATATTTCTCTGAAGTTCTTCATTTAGACTTTTAAGTTTATTTAATTTTCCAGTTTCTATCTTCAAGGTTCTATAAACTCCAAGCAAAAAAATAAAAAAATGTTAATCAAATATTTTATCCCTCAATAAAAGTACCACACCACATTTTGTAGAAATAATATTGAGGATATTGAAAAATAGGGAAGAAGTCATACACAGGAGTGAAAAAAAAAGACTAATTACTATATTCTCAGTACCTTTTAGGGTAAATCACATATAAAAACCTGAAGTCTCAAACCAAAGAGAATATTTTGGTGATAAAATTCATACAGTTATGGATACATAGGTAATACATACATATGGTACCTAAGGTTCCCAGTCCAATCAACAGTAGAAGGCATAGAAAAATCAGGGCCAAGGCTGTTCGATGGCATATCCAGGATGGAGTAGAGGGTTCTGTGGGAAAAAAATTATCAGATAAGTCTGGGACTGATATACATCTTAATGGGACTGATCAATTGATCTGTGGCTGAAAAAAAAAAAAAAAAGCTTTATTGTAAAGAAATGTGATTCGTTACAATTACAAGGACATTTAAAACAAGTTTAGCAACAATTTTTAGTCAAGAAAAAGTTAAAAATGGCAATTAGTGGGTGTGCAAAAGTCCTGGTGTAGCATTGTAGGATAAGCATTGAACTAGTAACCAACTTAGAGACCAACTTAGAGACCCACAAGTGCAGCCCAAAGCGTCTCACTACAACCAGTGGCACCTGGGGACTTTTGGACCCAGAGTCAGTGACATAGCCACAGAAGACTAGAGTGGAGAGTGAAGCATCCAACTGATAAGAAGAGAGGCCACATGCATAAGCACACCCATACTTGTAGATAATACCCACTTTACCTGGCTTCAGTGATTGAATGATCAGAGCTCAACTAGAAGAAGAAAGAAGAGGAAAAAAAGAGTAATCTGATACAATTTGATGAACTTGACCTATACCTATGGATGCAGTAGCTCAAAAGAAGGAGTAAATCTTCACAGAAAGGATCATTCCCACACCCTCCATACACGGAGAGGACAGAGATGGCAACTTGGACAGTGGCTACCCAGAAAGGGGGATCTACAGAGGCAAGAAGTGACTGGCTTACAAGCTTTCAAGAGGGAATCTAGATCCAGAGAGCATGGAGCAAGGTAGAATCTCCACTGAATAGTATCCAATCTGTCTAGGTGGGGCTGATGAAAGGAGATGAGCATAGGTCTATTGCATTACAATAGTGAATAATTGTTATTAGGACTGATTGTAAGGGCTGGAAAGTTAAAGGTAAACATTTTGTAGCAAAGGAGGAGAGTGATTGACTTTTCAGTCTAGGAGTGGAGGTCCCTGGGACCATCAAGGGAGAAGAGCAGAGAACAGAACCCTACCCAGAGTAGCAGTGGTGCCAGAGATGGAGGCAGAGACAATGATGTGGCGAGATGGAGCAGCTGGGGACTTTAGACCCCGGGGGAGGGGGTGGTCGATGATGCATGGAGGGGATTGTAACCATGGCAAGGAAATGATATACAATGGGATCAATGTGAAGTTAATGTTCTCCCATGTAAACTATCACATAATTCACAATGTTGTTGTGTTGTTGTTAAGTGCCGTCGAGTCGGTTCCGACCCATAGCGACCCTGTACAGGGTTTCCGAGGGTGTAAATCTTTACGGGAGTAGAAAGCCTCATCTTTCTCCCGCGGAGCAGCTGGTAGTTTCGAACCGCTGACCTTAAGGTTCGCAGCCCAATTCGTAACCACTACGCTACCAGAGCTCCACAATAAAGCATTAAAAAAAATTAAAAGAGCAGGCTGAGAAAACAAAGTATTATTATGCAATGTACAAAAGACCTGAATTTAGAGATTCAAATGGGAAGAATACACAGTATTTCTCAAGCTAAAGAAAACTAAAGATTAAATTCAAGTCTTGAGTTGAAATATTGATGGACTTTGAGGGCAAACTATTGAATGACACAGAAAGCATGAAAAGAAGATGTAAGGAATACAGATACTCATTATACAAGAAAGAAATGGTTGACATTTCATTATTTTGGGTGGTAGCATATTAACCATTTTATGATTTAGCATATGATGTAGAAGTGATAGTATTGAAGCAAAAAGTCCAAATTGCACTAAAGACAAAGGCTAAAAATTAGGCCCCAAGAATTGAAAGAATACAAATTGATACATATTAACAGATAGATGCAATGCTGGAATCACTTTACTACTCTTATTTCCAGAAATCTGGATGACAGTTACTTGGCCAAACAATGAGAAGAAAGCCATATTTGTGCCCATTACAAAGAGAATGTAGCAATCATTGAACAATATCATTACTACCACAGTTAAGCAACATTCTGTTGAAGACAATTTTAAAAGACTACAACGGTATATCCACAGGGAATTGTCAGCAATTTAAGACAGATTCAAAAGAAGATGCAGAATAAGTAATATCATTACTTATTTGAGATGGATCTTGGCTGAAAGCAGAGAATACCAACAAGATGTTAACATGCATTTCATTGACTGTGCAAAGAACTTTAACTGTTTGGCTCATAACAAATTATGTAAAATATTGAAAGGAATGGGAATCTCAGAACACTCAACTGTACACTTGTGAAACCTGTACAGAGACCACAGAGCAGTAATTCAAACAGAACAAGAGAATATTGCATGATACAACATCAGAAATGGTGCATTAAACTCATATCCTTTTACCAAGCTTATTCAATATATTTGCTAACCTAATAATTTAAGAAGGTGGACTGTATTATGATACATCAAGATTGGAGAAAACCTTGTTAACAAGCTAAGACAGATGACACAACCTTGCTTGCTGAAAGTGAAGAGGACTTGTATCACTTTCTGATGAAGATCAAATTGATTCAATATGGATTACTGCCTTTGAAAACAATAAACTCTCCAGCTGGACCAATAAGCAATATGATATACAGAGGAAAGTATGAAGTTGTTAAGGATTTCATTTCATTTTTATCCACTATCAATGCCCATGAAAGCGACAGTCGAGAACTCAAACAATGCACTGAATTGGGAAAACTGTTGCAAAGATCCTCTTCAAGGTGTTAAAAAGCAAAGCTATTACTTTAAGGAATAATGTGTACCAGACCTAAGCCATAGGATATCCAATCACTTCACATGTATATTAAAGTTGAGCTATGCATAAGAACAACCAAAGAAAAATTGGTAACTTTCAATTATGGTGTTGTCAAAGAATATTGAATATATCATGAATGCTAGAAGAATGAAAATATCTGTCTTGGAAAAAGTACAACTAGAATGCTCCTTAGAAGTGAGGAGAGAGAGAGACTTCGTTTCATAATCTTAGGACACACTATAAGAAGGAAGCTGTCCCCAGAAAAGGATATCATACTTAACACATCAAAACGTTAGCAAAAAAGAAAAAATCCTCAAACAGAAACATTGATACAGGAGCTGCAGCAGTGGGCTCAAACCTAGCAATGTTCTGAGCGTGACACAGAGTCACATAGTGGGTTTTTGTTTTGTTTTGTGTTTGTGATGTACATAATGTCCTTATGAGTATGGACCTGCTTAAAGGCATCGACAGAATGAAGTAGGAGGAAAGAGCATCCAAAAAAGTGTATACTTGGGTTGAGTGTGTTCTTGTCACCAGCAATATTTAGTTGTTCAAAAGGGAAAAATGAGTGGGGGTGCAGGACACTAGGATTTAACTAGTAATAGAAGTGTTCAAGGAAGAAACAAAGTACATTGTAGTGGGGTGAGTGAGAAAGTAGTGGTAGAGAATGTTTTTATGTTTTTAATTTCTGCATAACATAGCTTCTAATGTGGATAGTTGGGAAATTAAACAAAATTGAAGAAGTAAAGGATAGGTCCAAGATTTCCAGGTTGTCAAAAGAATTTCTGATTTGAACATTTAGAACAAGGTGAATTAGTATGAACAGAGAAGGGAAGGAATAAAACGGGATGTTTAAAGTCATTATGGAGTCCTCGTGTGGCATAGTCTGATAAGCACAGGACTAACTGCAAGGATGGTGGTTCAAACCCACCAACCACTCCTCCTATAGAAACTCTCTATGAGTGAGAACCATAGAGACTCCCTATGAGTGAGAACCAGACTCCCTATGAGTGAGAACCATAGAGACTCCCTATGAGTGAGAACCAACTCAAACACACTCAACAACAACAGCACCAAAGTCATTATGCTGGCAAGCTCTAGTTGTTGGTAATGCTAAATTCACAGTTATCCCATCCTGACATGCCATAAAATAAAGTGGAAATACAAGCAAAAAAAAACCAAGGCAAATATCAAAAAATCTTTATAATCTACTTTTCAAAAAATAAAAACTATATCAAAGGAAGATCACACAGAATTATTCTGCCATTCTGCTTTAAGAGTTAAAATTATGACTCTAAAGGGATCTAAGATCTGTCATATTAAAGTTAGAATTTCAAAGAAGTCACAGTTTGTGGGAAAATGCTTAAATAAAACATGAGAGTTCTTTTGTCACTCCTTTCTTCTCTATTGATTTTTCTAGCAACATTAAAGAATGGAAAACATTTATAGACCCTTCATTTTTTAACAGATTTTATACCTGTTTTGTATGGATCTGTTTGACAACTTAAATAAAAGCAAGAGGCTTAATTAACTATTCAAGCTGGAAGAGGACCAATATCATTGTCAATTCATTAATAGTTAAGATGCAGGGATATAACCACTTCTACTACTTTACATCATACCCATAGCCCAAAAGCTTACCTTTTTTCTTCAAATTGTCAAAATCCTTAATCTTTTCCGAGTTACTAGAGTACGGAAAGTTTAGATCTGCATATGTAACGTCAGACATTGATGAACATGTAAGGTTAACCTCTATAAACTATTAAAAAAAAAAAAAGTAAAATAAAAAGTGTGGGAGAACTAACGCAGTTGAATGTTAAATCTAAATACTTAAATTTCCATTTAAGAATCCAGTGTGTTTATCACTCCCATGTCTGCAAGGAAGATAGAGTAGCCTCAGATACAAGAGCAGAGGAGCTGTTGTAAATGTTGTAAGAGAAAGCAAACTTCTTCTATTGCTTCATTTTTCCATTATGCATGCAAAACTAACCGCATCATCTACCACAGAAATAACTCTTTGAAACTGGTTTTGGATAATATTATCAGTTTTCTGCAAAGAAGTCATGGATACAAACCACTAGCGCCAAATGGTACAGTTACAACATAGGATACATTGGAGAAAAACTTTCAAGCAGACAAGTTACAGAGAAGACCCAGTCCTTTGATAACACTGATTATTCCCTAGTAGTGGTCTAGCATACATGTTTTATATGTATCCTGATTAAGGTTCCAACTGAGAAGGGATGCCTTAGCCCAGGAATCTGAACATTCCCAGAAAGAGCACTCCCAGAGAGAGAAGAGAGCAAGTGCCTTCCCATGATTGTTACAAGATAAAAGTTAGCCTAAGAGGAACTATTAATGTGATGTTCTAGAGTAAACACTGGACTGCTAACAATAAGCTTGGAGGTTCAAACCCACCAGCTGCTCCTTGGAAACCCTATATATACACAAACCCTATGTATAGGGTTTCCAAGGCACAGCTGGTGGGTTTGAACCACCTGCCTTGTGGTTCAATATCTAGTTTCTCTAAGTAAGAAATATTTTAAAGGACCTGAGTCTCAGGAACCATACCAGAAAGTATGCATATGGATGACCAATATGCATATCTAGAACTCTAGGAAGAGTTTTGCACCCCAGGAAAGCTGAGATCAATCTTGTTGTCTCTCAGAGGATTGACAGAGCCAGTTCCCAGCAAAGTTACAGATATGGAGAGGGATGAGCCACCAGTGCCATGCAGATTTACATCTTTGATTAAGCATTCTTTGTTGTTGTTGTTGTTGTTAAGTGCCTTCAAGTCAGCTCTCACAGCAAGCTTGTATAGGGTTTCCAAGGAGTTTTTAACAGCTTAGTGCTTGTCCTACATTCTTAGGCTAAAAGGTTCTTTGGAGACGCAAAGTCAATGAAGTGTATATATGTAAACCTCAGGTAGATATCAAGTATATACATATATGTTGTTGTTGTTAAGTGCCGTGGAGTCAGTTCTGACTCATAACGACCCTGCACAGGGTTTCCGAGGCTGTAAATCTTTACGGGAGCAGAACGCCTCATCTTTCTCCTGCGGAACCGCTGGTAGTTTCTAACTGCTGACCTTGCGGTTCACAGCCGGATTCATAACCACTA